CTGCAGGTGGAGAACAAGGAGGACTGCAGACCACTCCCAAATCCAGCTGGCTGCGATCTCTGGAGGCAGAGCTGCCTGTAATACAGGAGCCGAGCCAACCCCAAAAACCACTGTGTGTGGGGGAGACCAGTTTGCCCTCAGGACCTGGAAACAGCTCACCTATTCCCTGCCTCACATCTCTTGTCCTGCTCGATTATCCTTGACACCTCTGTTGCCACTCACTTTGGTGCCAAACCCGGGTTTAGCTGTTCTGCTTAATAGGAGGTGAGGGCTCTGAGTTTTCTATCAAACTCTCTGTCACCGTGGGCTGCTGGAGCTGTCAGAAGCACAGCATATCATAGCCCTGCAGAACTTCACAGACAGCTGATCTGAAATTCCCCCTCTGGCTCCCGGGAACAGGCTGCTGATGCTCGAGCTATGGGAAGTTCTCCCTTGGTGATCTGCATGGTGTGATGTGTGCTGGCCCCAAACTGACCCCAGTCAAGGAAAGAGCGGGGTGTTTGGGTGGGTGCCTGCTAAGTGTCTGCACTAATGTTCACAAGTTTCACCAAAAATCTGTGGTCTCAGTCCTGCCCCATTTCTGCTTGAAGTCATCGGCATTGTGAGGCTCAGTAAAAGGGAGACAGAATGAAGAGTCTGCAGTTCATTTTAGGCAGAAGGTCACTTTTAGTTTATAGACTAATTTATTAAGCTAGAAGAGTGTACATCTCCTCCTTCATCTTGCCATCCTCTAAATTCATACTTACTATGGTTGGTTTAGCATCTTCTACTGCAAAAGAAGAATCAAGAGCATTTTTCACAATCCAGCAGATCTGATGCGTGAACAGCTCCAGCTACCTGCAGAAACCTGAGCTGGGAAATGTGTGCAAACAGAGTCCTCATGGGTTAGAATTTGGGATGCCAAGTGCAGAGCAAATCCCTGGTTAAGAGCCAGAGGAAGAAGAAAACCAGGATGCTACACGAGAACAGAACGAGGCAGAGGACAATGCTCTGTGAAAAAGACAAGGAACACGGACACAGCAGTTGCAGACTGAAGCTGGGATCCCCCCCCATCTTCAAAAAAGCAGCTCATCACTTGTTGGCTGAATCAACAACTCACAGTAAAGTGTTTGCTCTCCCCACGCTCCTGTGCCCCGTGTTGCACGGCACCCACACCCCAAGCTGCGAGGGGAGCACAGCGCGTGTCGGCAGGGCTCAGGCTGAGAGCCAACCCGGCATCCTGCACGTCATTCACACATGCAAGGACTGAAAACCCACTTGTGGTAACAGCACGTCTGTTTCTGCGAGGTGGTGGCCAACTGCGAGTGCTGCTCACTTCATCACCACCTTCTCAATGAGCCCCAAAGCTGGTCCCCTCCTCTAGCTGTGTTCTCCTACAGCCTTTGGGGCAGAAGCCAGCCAGGTCCCAGCACCCAGAGCCTGGCTCTCCCTTACCACCCACAAATAAGCCACCGCAATAGGAACACCGAAAGAACACAAAACGCAGAGGTGTTTCACAGCTGCCTCCAAGCTCTGTCCCTGTTATCGTATTTCATACAAATGCTTGACTGAAAAATACATTTCCTGGGACACTGCTGCAGTAAGCTGCTACAACTGTCAACGTAAATGATGTTCTGCCAACGGCAATCTCGTGGTGTCATCTCTAATAACATAGTACTAAATCCCAGCTCAGGGAGGACGTGCTCATCTGTTGGAAGGCTCCTCGGGGGCCTGCTCACTGCAGCCCCCAGCCCTGCTGTATCTATACATGCAGATCTGTACTCCCCATTCCTGTGTTTATTCCAGTGCAGGCACAGGATCACGTGGGGCATGGCTGTGAGACCACTGTGGCAACACTGCTGCACTGACGTCTTGTCCCAGGAAAGCTGCCTGGGCATTCTGATTCTAGCCAGCCTGGTCTGGGACAAAGATTTTTACCCAAATTTCAGCATGAAGTGTGATCTGACACTGCAGCTGTGGTTACCCTACATGCACAAGTCAAGAATAGGGTGCACAAGGACAAGAAAAAAACCAAACCCCACCGGGTAACACACCAGCATCCTCCTCTGCAGGTGCAGCCGGATCTGCAACTCACCTGAGCAGGCAGATCTCCAGCACCACGTGCCCACATTGACACACTGTTTTAAGAGAGCAGCTTCAAGCCTATTACTGTAATTTCTGCCTCTGGAAGTACAGATAAAGAGTTAAGGAGCAGATTCTCCTCTGTGGCACATTGTCAAAAAGCAGTGGAGACATCAAGAGCCCTGTCTTGCAGGACCATGCTTTGTTCATTCTGCTGCGGTGACCAATCTCTCACTGCAGAGATTAACACTGAAATCTCCAGGATGGAGTTGTGGAGTCAGGATCTCAAAACAGATAGCTTTGTTTTAAGCTCCTGCACTTTTCTCAGCCCAAAGCTCTGTTATGATCTGAAGCTGCTAGGATGTTTACCTTTCAGCAGGCATGCAGGCCATGCCACAACAGATGTGGGGCAAAGAAATGGCACAAGGAGCCAATACTGTGCATAGCATAGAGGGGAGAAGTGGAGCAATAGGCAAAGCAACCTGCTGAGACTACACATCATGATGCCCAAACTTTTCTGCTATCCTTCCTTGAGATAGAAGCACCTGAGGGGTGCCAGATGTGCTCGGCGCTTCATCTGTTGGGAGCAGAGGAGATCCAAGGGGAAAATCCAAGTTATCCCTCTGCTCCCATTCCTACAGCAGGCTCTGTTTCAGGGCTGAATGGCAGAGGCCTGCTATCCGGCTGCTCACAACACCAATTCTCCAGGGAACGTCTGGAAATTTGTACCATGAAGTCTGCACAGCCCGAACATCTGCAGAGCTCACAGCCCGCCGCGCTCTGCTCTGCCTCTGCACGACCGCTGACACACAGTGCAGCCTTAAGCATGTGATGGGGAAGGCACACGACCAAGGGAAATCACACTTTGGGGAGTGTTTAGTGGGGTTTTAGTGTGGTAGAAAGGGATTGTGCTAATTGCTGTCTCTTCTGTGAAAAGGCCTTTAATAAAGGAGATGGAACAACTCCCATCCATCACCCAACAATGGGAATGGGGAGGGACAGAAAGAACAACTGGGCAGAAGATCTACAGGGAAATAGATTCTTTTGCTACATACAGCCAGCTCAGCCTCGCAATGCCTGGCAGAAGTAGAGGCATGAGCAGGAGCTCCCAGGCCTGAGACCTGCCTACGCAGTGCCAGTGGAAGTGTTTGCATTACAACCAGCACAGCCCTGAAGTCCACCTGGAGCACTCACACTCAGTCATCACCACATGGCACTGTTTCATTGTTCCTGCCAGCAGACATGGAATACTTGGCCTCTGAAATGCCTGACCGAGCAACTCAAGCAATACTAAATAGCTGTACCTTGAACTTTTCTTATTTTCTTTTCATTCTCTCACATCTCTTCTCCAATCTCCTCCAGCCAAAGGATTTCTGCCTTACATTCCGCTTCAGCTACTACCAGCTACTTCTGAAGAGGGAGTAAAAAACTCCTCAAGCCAGTCAGGCATCCAGAAACATGCCTCTGATGGAGGCATGCTGAAACTCAAAAGGATCAATACCATGCCAGTCACTGCTGGAGGAGCGTGCAGCCTGCTCAGGTCACTACAGTTTCCCATCTGTCTCGGAGATACTTTTCCCCAATTATAAAAATCCCCAGAGATTTAACAGGCATGTTTTTCATCACTATCAGCTCAATCTGGTGAAAAACTCAACCTCGCATATTTGTTTTTGCAGCCAGCGGGTGGTGTAGTGCTGCAGAAGCGAGATTTGGGCGAGAACTCCAGGCAGAAATCTGCTCAGCCGGCTGCTGCTCCAGAAGGAACACTTCCCATTTAACCTCTTCCCTTGCCTCCATTTGCAAAGCAGATTAAACATTGCAGAATACAAGATGCAATTATGCTGAACAAGTTACGATGCCAAGGACAGCATATTCACCTTTGTAGCTTGATCGATATTACTTATCGATATCAAACCAGGCCCAATGGCAGAGCGGTCTCTGGAATGTGGAACTGCCCATAGCAAGCGCTCTCCTTGCCTCTGAGCTTCATTAAACACACAGAGGATCTGGCAGGGGCTGACAATTAGATACAGAGCATTCAGCTGCTCATGAATTCTCTGCAGATTCCATACAGATTACCTCCATGACACAATCCATTGATCAGAGGTGTATTCTCAGGCTCCGCAGTTAATTACACTCCCTGCTGATGGATGAACAGCAAAGCCATCTCTGTGAAAATACACTGGTAGCAGAATGCCAAGCAAAAAATCCCTAAACAAAGACAAAAGGAGCTGGGAAGCATTTCAGAGCTTTCAAGGTGAAATCTGCCATGTAAACAAACAGGATTCAGCGTGAGCAGCAGACTGACGTGGCCGAGGGACACCATCCAGAGAGTAGGGACAGCTCAGCCAGACCTGGTGATCTCACCCGCTTGCAGGATGAGGTTTATACAACACTGGGAAGTATGCAGGGTCTGCAGACCCCCTGCACTAAGGCTCTCAGCTCCCTTCCCCTGCCCAGACTTGCCCACCATGTTCTTGGTTTACAGAGAAAAATGCATGCAGAGGCTGAGGCCCAGATAGGGAGGCAAAGGACAACTCACATGCAAAGCCCTGCTTAGGCTGAGTCACCTGCAGAAATCCCAGATGAGGGTTGTTCCTAAATGGCACAGACATCTCTGGAGCCTCCCCACAGCTTGGCAGTGAGCCAGCCACATGGACACATTGCTAGTTGGTGTCAATGTGCTGCTCCTCTGGAGCAGCTCGCTATGCAATCTGGGGTAGACACAGCCCTGCTAACTATTCCATCCTCTGATTGCTTCTTTTGCTAGATTGTGCATCTTCCTCTGCACGTGTCATCCTCTGCTCATCTTCCACCTCACTATCACGCACGACTTCCCAGCACGCACACAGAATCATCACAGATTGACTTGGGTTGGAGGGGGCCTTAAAGATCACACACCCAGACCAACCTGTCCCTGCCAGCACCTTACACCTTACCTTTCAGGACACTGAGAACTGCAGCGTTGCTGTAGCGCTTCCGAGCAGCATTGCTGGCCACGCAGTGGTACACCCCAGCATCACTCTCCTGCACGTCAACAATCTGGAGCACACCATTTGGAAGAGTTATAAACCTGAGGGAACAAAAGGAAGAGCATTAGACAGGTTATGCCTTGCCTGAACTATTCATCAGCTCAAAGCCCTTTCATCTCTGCCTTTTCTCCTTCAGAGGTATCACTTGCAGGTCCTGGTAACAACAGCAGAGTGGAACTGAAACATCCCAGTGGCTGAAAAGAAAGAGTGGTTCTTAAAAAGCAGCAGCCACAGACCCATCCATGATTCTGGGGCCTTCACAACATAGGATCAGCTTTTGGGAGACTAGGGCTTTGCTGATATAAACCAAATGCACAGCAGAAAATAATGTACACGCACATTCCTGCCTACAGATTTGTAGATATCTAAGTGTACCAGTGCCTTTGCACACAGAGTCTGCTGTGAAAAGCCTTACCACTTACCTTTCACAAAAGGTTGGTAGCCAGAGGAAAAAAAGTGCAGAGAATCTTTTTCCTGCTGCGTGTCAGGTACACAAATGGACCAAGTGACACACAGATGCACCTTCACAGCCCAAATCAGCCAGGACAATGCTTCTGCAGTGAGCAGCTGGTGCCATTCCTGGTTGTGTTGATTACTTTTGTTCTCACAAGAGCTCCTGGCTTTCACAAGCTGGCAAACTTACACCCAGGCATTCAGCATCCCTTATTTGCCCATGGGGTGCTACTGGGGAACACCTCCAAGGAGTGCAATGGCTACATGGCTCACAACATGAACACAATCCTTGCTGCATTATACTGAACAAAGCAGATGATTAGCAATTAGCATAAAAGTAGGAGCTGGTTGTCAGCATCTCCATTTTCTGCCTGGATTCCTAGATGGCAGCCTCTTTATTCTTGAATGCAAGGCGCAAAGCCTACGTGATCCTTTTTAATTATATATGAGATCCATTTTTAATTGCAAACCTCTATAAACAGAGCTGCCGAGCTTTGACAGGCAGCTCTAGGTTATCAGTCTTCATTATGAAGAGGACACATTCAAAGGCAATTGCTAAGGGGAGAGACAGCAGCTATTCCACAGCAATAGCACAAAGACAAGTTATAGGCATGAATGCCAACCCTTTCATCCACAAAGATCCCTGAATGTAGCCCTGGTATTAGCAAATGCGGATCTCCAGGTGCTGAGCCCAGCTGGAAGGCCAGGAGCATGGAATCAAAAGGACCTTAGGAGATGATCCACCTCAAGTTCAAGACATGGTCAACAAGAGCAGCTCACCCAATCTTGCAAGGCCTTAAATCTCTAGCAATGGAAATGTCATCCCTGCCCCAAGCAGTCTGTTCCAGAGATGAATATCCCCACTGCAAACCTTGTGCCCAGCCTGGACCTCAACTGCCACAGTCTGAGCTCTTCTTTGTCTTCTGCACAACAGGCACAGAAGACCTAACAGAGCTCCTCCAATCACTATATGCACCATCCTACAGCCTGATTTAAGAATACAGACTTGCTGAAGCTTCCCATATAAGCAAGGGCTACTGCCCCAAACCCCTCAAGCCTCAAGCCATGCTTGCACTGTTTCCAAGATACTTTTCTCAGGATCAAGTTCCACAGTCCCTAGGAGGAGTTGTGGTACCCTGAAAACCCTTATAAGGATGCCTCATTAGGACACAAGAGGAAGACAAATATTTGCATCCTCTCAGCACTGGAGGGAAAGCTTCCCACTGCGATAGTATTTATTTTTGTCGTGCATCTGCTCTTTGAGTCTGTAATTAATATCAATATATTTCAAGCACTACGCAAAGCAACTCACAGCCACATGAAAGAGACTCCAATTCTGTATAACAGAATCACGGAAGCTGGGAGGACCTCTGGAAAACCATCTACAGCCTTCTTATCTACAGCCTTCTCCCTCTGGGATAAGGCTCTTATAAGGCTCTTGTAGGTCAGGCTGCTCAGGGCCATGGCCAGGAAAGTTCTGAACGTCTCAGAGGATGGAGACTCCACAGCCTATGCTTGACCATCCTCGCAGAGAAGAATTTTATCTTACATTTAAATAGAATTTCCCAAATTTCAGTTTGTGCCCTCTTACCTCTTCCACTGGCTCCTCACTCTTTCCTCCTCATGTAAGGTATTCACACACATGAATGAGATCCCTGCCAGCCACTCATTCCCCAGCCAGTCCTGGTGCACAGGAGGGGACACTTCCCTGTATTGAAGCCTCTTAGGTTCCCGAGAACCCATTTCTCCAGCCTGCCCCAGTCAGGCAGCCCTACAAGTATCAGCCACTTCTGCCTGGTTTCTAACACCTGGAACTTGCTGAGGCTGAGCTCTGCCCCACCATCCAGGTAATTAACGAAAATGTGAAACATAAAATGTCCAGAAGTGCCTTCAAGCTATTCTACAAGTTAACAAAGCTTCTTCAAGCTCTTTGTGATCCTACAGCTGTACTGTGCATATAGCAGAGAATATTCTAGCATTAACAGCCCACTTCCCTTTCTTACCTCTCCCCACTACACTGCTGCCAGATACTGACTGCAGATCATGTGATCTGAGGTACATATTTATGTGCAGACCCCTAAAGATCTCCATTTCTTAGCAAGTATTCGTTTTGGCTCTACAGAAAACAATCAGCAATTTGGAGCCCGGTGTGAAACTCAGCCAGATGAAAACAGACAAGAGATGATGCCAAAAGCTGTAGCTGCATCCCAAAGCAACTACAGTCCAGAGAAATCCTGCAAGCCACCCCTCAGCAGCTGCTGCAGATTTAAGACTTTTCTTTTTTAAAAAGTACTTCAGAGCCAGAATTACAAAATAATTCTGTCTTACTCCTATGCAGAAATTGGATTCTGTCCTGAACTCCAGCAGGGTGCGAAAGGTGTTTTGAAAACATCCCTAAACAATCCAAAAAGTGCAGAAGTGCATTTTTTAAGCTAAGCCTTCAACATGTTCAGGGTGACACCACACTAGAGACTGTGTGCAAGAGTGATATGAAAGGAAAAAAAGAAAAGAGAGAAAAAAAACCAACTATGATCAGTTTTATCAGTTTCGTCTAATTGTTCTATCTGTCGTAAAAGAAACCATAAGCACCAGTGTAAGAGCATTATCTGAAAGGCTGCATCTGCAGCCCCAGAGCTGACGTGTACGTACATCTAACGGTGCTGTTTCAGAATACGAAGTCATCCCCCTGGTGCCTACCTACTCAAAGGACTGCACTTTCACAGGCTCATCAGATGTGTGCACAGGAGGGAGTCCCCAGGAAGCAGAGGCTGTCCCCAGGCCTGGTCGTTCGGCACAGTGGGGTGAGGATAACAGAGGTCTGGTTGGCAGCCAGCGTTTCCTGGAATTCGCTTAATTCCTTCAAAAGCCGGTTATATTAAATCCAGCAACAACGAGACAACAAGAAAGCAAATCCTTCTGAAAAAGCGTATTAGCTAAAACATGATTTAAAAAGCAAGATCTGCAGCTAGAGATTACGCTCTGGTTTTTACAAGGAAAACAATTTTCAGGCTGCCTGTGTTGAAAGCAATCTCCGACCAAGTAATTTCACAACATCCATCCAGCTGTCTCATTAAAAAGCCATTGCCCTATCTACGGCACACTTCCCTCTGCCATCCCTTCTTTTGTTTTGTTTTGCTTTTTTTCCTTTGCTTTTTTATTAATTAATTTTCGTCTCATTACAAAGCAATAGCTTTGTATGAACCTTACAACCTTTAGATGCCACTCTTCAGACTCAAGGATGTAACAGAAACCATTTTTTGTTGAAACATTCTTTCTAGATCTTACATCCACCCTCTCCTTTCCATCCACTCCCCCACTCCTGGCTTAACCTTCTTGGGAAAAACAGCTCCTTCTTCAGAACAGAAATGAGTTTTTGGAAACTAAAGGACAACGTGATCACTGATCCCATGCAGGGATGATGTCTACAGATCAGCTATTACCCAGCTTATGATTTATTCCCTTCCCTTGCCTATAACTGTCTTTCATTACTAAAAGCAACTTGCATGCTGCAGGACTCTACCTTTTCCCCTAAAAACAAAATGTGGGGTCTTGAACTAGATGACCCCATACATAGGAGTAAAATAAGTGGAAAGATCACCCAGGTTACTGAGCACACACAGAGCTCCAGAGGAATCATTAACACCAAGACGAATCTGGGTGAGAGAACAGTGAGGAAAATGACTGGCTCTAAAATCACTACTGAAACTAAAGAAAAATGACATCAGGTTTCCGTCAGATACACCCAGCCCCTAGCACCATACCCCACAGCCAGCTGGGGAAATGCTCCTCAAGCCAGGATCCAATGCCCCAAAAGGCTTCCATCTTCTGAACTTTGCACAAGACTGTTCCAGGCAGCCCCTACTGCAGTGCTCTGCTCCACACACACGTGGGCTTTTACAGGGTGCAGGATCTGTGCTGTAGAACCTGGACGATCTCAAGTTTCTCCATTCACATTTAGGCGCTCTGCTCTTCAGCATGCTTGTTTATTTCCCTTGAACTCTCTAGATGAGGAGTAAGTGGCTGATAAAAACCATGCTGAAATTGTGCATCCTTGCGTGCAGACCTTCCAGACCACCAGAGAATTGAGGCACAGGTCTCATTTAATTACTTTGCTCATTAGCCAATTTCTACCCAATTTCATTTCTACAAAACTATTACAGACTGAGCACTTGGTCTGTTGTGTCAAAGGCTCCAGAAGAAGAGATAAGTAACAAAAAAGCAAACGATTTTGTTCTTATTGCTATTTTGGGCTGTTTGGTTTTGAGTTGTTTTTTTTTTTTCAGTTAGCTGGATGATGTTTGGGGGAAGTCTTACTTTGTTTTTGTGTTTTATCAGCTTATTTACATGGGTCTCTCCAGCAAGTGCTGCTCTTTCAGCACTTTGTTTTCGGGTTGAAAATTGATTCATACCATTTCTCTCCTCATTCTACCTTTTTATGAAAGACTTTCACATCTTAAGTGGTCAGGTTTGGAATTTATTTTTTCTTTTTCCCTTCAAATAAATGGGGAAACAATCAGGACATCACCTGGGTTCTTCTGGAACAGCTACGTGATCCTTCTCCCACGTGATGACAGGGGAAGGCAAGCCTTCGATCCGGCACTCAAACCGAGCCATGCCATTTTCTTCCACTGTCTGCGACTCCGGCTGTTGGAAAAAGCGTGCCAAGCCTGGGAACAGAAGAAAGCAAGGCAAGTTAGGAACTTGAGTTTCTGCTGAGAAATGCAAACATGGCACGGAGGACAAGTTGGCTGTATGCTATAAATGAGTCTGAACTGCAATTCCTCCTTTTCCCATCCCCTGTAAGCCCCCAGCAGTCCAAGAACAGTAACAGTAACCTGCAGATTTGCTTCTCACCTCATTTTATCCTTGAAAGCAACAGTGTGAGAGAAGACAGACAACTAGCTGGTTTTGCCAGTTGCTCTTCTAAATCGCTTCCTTTGTTCATTTACTTCATTGGTTAACCACACACAGAATGAGAAACAGAAGAGGGGGAAACACAGGTTCTCCCTTATCTTATGGCACACTCATAGCCCAAATCAAGAATAGGCAAGAGGAAGAACAAAGTCAGATGTCAACCTTCTTGACCAAAACTCTGCCCACAGGTTGGCAATGCTGGAGCCACACGTGCACATACTTTATTGTGGCGTTAGCCTGAGGAAGCATGTACCAATCTGAAAATAAAATGCTTTTACATGCCCTATTTTAACCTCAGCATATTCTCAACTGTCATTAGAATTTTGTTTCACTTAAATACTTATCACATGTTTAAAGCAACTCATTGCTCTCTGCAGCAGTTGCAGACTGAATTCTCACACCAGCTGAATGCTAAGTAGAGTTCTTCAGTTCAATAAATGACAATGAAAAACCTCATTCTGGAAAAGTTTGATAAATAAATTAATGTAAGGCCCCAATTCAGGCAACAGTTTTAGTATTTTTGAATATACTCCGCAGAGCACCTGAATGCAGAGTAATTTCCAAGAACTGCATGATCTTTTTTTTCACATTAATATATTTTGCTGAACCCAAGAGTTTAAAAGGAAATCCATCAAACACAAGCGCAGTTTCAGGTTGGCACCATCAAAACAACTTCCTTCTTGTATCCATAATGCTCTTTCCTGTTGTACTCTTTTCATCCTATGAGTGTAAATGAAAGCACTTTGTCAGTCTCCAAAGGCTCAACATGCCTGGAAATGGCATGAAGGGATGCAGGAACCCCTCTAAAAAGATGAAATCTGTCATCATCTCTGTTCTCTCTGCTTCAAGTCAGGTCACCTGTTTTTCTTCCATTCATTTTTAAGTGGCATAATCTAAGCTGACACAATGGAGCCCCAAATTCTCCTTTAGCAGCTTTAGATGAGCCTCCAGAGACGAGAAAACTTACGTGCAAACCATGGGCTACAAACAGCAATGCCACTGCTAACAGCAGCAAAAAGGCTCCATAAATTGCAGCAGACAGCTCCTCACTCTTTGCTATCCCATGTGGTAGCAGGCAGGTGTATTTTATACATTTTGCTAAGAGATGTGGGGTGTTCAGCAAGCCAGGCTCACCCCTGCACATTTTGCCATGAAGGCCAAAGGGGTACAAAAAGGAGCAGTGCTTTTTTGGGTCCCTGGGCTCACCCAGAGCAGCAAGCTGTCCCAAAAGAAAGGACAGCTGGCTACCCCTTCCCCATCCCCTGCAAGATCTGCGTCTGCAAGCTCGAAATGCACTGCTGAGAACCAAATCCTGCCCTACACCTCAAGCCAGCTCCATGCCTGCTGTGCTGGGCTCCAGCACGGCTCTTCAGAAGCAAAGAGCCAAGAAATGCACCCATGACAGATTTCTCATTACGGTGTGGAGGAGTGTGAACCCCGATTAGGGAGGCAGCATCCTGATAGCTAGCAAGGGCTGAGAGCTCAGTGGCTGTAGCACATGGAGTAAACCTTCACTTGCCTGCTGGTGTCTCCTCCAGGTATCTGTCAGGGTGGGACTAGAAAACTGGGCAGCTCTGCCATCATCCCGTTACAGGACATCAGGATAGGGATTGCTAAGGACATCCTGGGAAACAAAACTACTTCAGGAAGCTTTGAGAGGAGCAGCCTACAAAGTCACGCATTGCCTGGGGAAGGACCTTTGTGCACAGAAAGCAACACCAAACCAAGGTAAGAGAAGTGGAAAGGTTTATTTGATGCAGGGCTGATCAAGAACACCAGATCTCAGCAATGGTGAGATTCAGGTAAAGACAGTCTTCCTGGCCAGCTTCATTGCTGCTCCACAAGCATCTCCTGCACCAGCTCAGAGCCATGACCATGGCATGCTGGCATCCTTTGTGATCCTCTTCTGTCACCCAAGGGGTGCCTGGCTGGAGAGGAGGAGGCAGCACATGCCTGGCACCCACAGAGTGGCACAGCCTGGCTCAGAGATGTTCTGCAAGCTCACCGTAGAAGTATTCAAGCAGGGTCCATCCTCCTCCCATAGATGTTCTTGTGGAAAAAAACTTGCTGCAGAAGTTCTGCAGAGTAACAGGGTTCAGTGAAGGGAGGCATGGAAAAAAAAATGCCAGGAGTGAAAAGGGAAGTAAAGCAGATAGATACGACTAAATGCTATTTTCAACTCCTCAGCTAGGATTTAGCTCGCTAAACCCGCTAAAAGCCATGCCCTGCCACAAAACAACTCCCAGCCACGTTGTGCTGGTTTCCCTGAGCACATTAAGGCCACTCAGTAAAAATGATGGACTGCAGGTGAGGAGGTGGAGGAGCACTACAGCGCACTGCCCGCAGAAACGTGCCAAAGCACCACACTGCGCCTTTGGGAGCGGATCACACCACTCCCTTCCCACTCACATGCTCAGCCCAGCTGGAGCCAAGCTGTGTGCCAAGGCTCCCAGCCCGGGGGTGCCGGCAGCACAGGGAACGCTGCAGCCTCCCCCTCTCCCAGCAGCACAGGAGGCCCCGAGCTTGGAAAGGCTGCCAGGCAGCAACACTACACCCAAGGCAGAAAATGCAGCCTATGCAAGGAATTTGGCCTTCTGAAACGGGCTCACTGCTCTCTCACACAGTGCTTTGCCCCCCTAAGTCTCCACGTGCTCATCCCCTGTCTGCTTTCTGTAATTATCCCAAGGTGCTTCTAAGATGGGGGGGGTGACTAAAGCCCCCACTGAGATCATATATACTGCCCAGACAAGCTGCTCTGAACTGCTAAATGGGATGGGGAGGCAGCAGGGAGACTGCAGGATTTGCTGTGATTGGTGTGATTTGCCACGGTTCCACAGCGCAGAGGAGGCAGAGCCAGAGCTCGGTCTACAGGGCCAGTTGGCAATGTAGGATCTGTGCTGCCCAGCTTACCCTTACAGGGCACACTCCTACCTCTGTAGAGCCACCGGTTCCCTATCTCTACACCCAACAGCATCCAAAAGTCACAGATCCAGAAGCCTGTACACTGATCTGCTGGAAGTTCTCTGGCCCAACTGGTGGGAAGCAAAGAGACCTGGTGATGCACCTGGTGCACAGAATAAACAGTATCAAATCCATAAAGTAAATCCTTAAAAATACAACCAAATCTCTGTCTTTCAGAGACAGTGTGACACAGAGAACTCTTCTCTGGGGACAGGAGCCCATGCACACACATGTGCACCTCTCCCTGCTGCAGCCTGTGCTGCCAGCTGCAACACCAAACCTCTGCAGCTCTGCCAGCAGCCGCACGGCGCAGGCCCGTTCCCTCCAGGCACAGCAAACGTTTTCATCTGACAGCTACAATTACTGTAATTTTCTAGAACCTCCCTCGCACAAAATGTTTAGGCTGAATTAACAGCTTTAACAAATCTTCACCAATGTAGTTATTAACAGGTAGAAAGCTACACCTTCCCACGACGACAATAACGCCCCTGGTATTTCCATGTGGGAGCGCACACAGCTCAGAGAAACCTGCAAATCTCATCCAGCAGCCCAAACAGGCATGCTTGCACCATGAGCCATGGGGTGCAGGTGGTGAACAGTGACAAGTGTCTCAGCCAGCAGCACATTGGGATGAGCTGCAAAGTGCTGTTGTGTCACACATGTATTCAGTAAAACATGAGCCGACACAGAAGTGACAATGGAAGGGAAAGGATGGAGAGCATCGCAGCATTGTTAGATTCCCCCGGAAGGCACTGCTGGGGCCAAGGCATCAGGGCACCTTCCCATGTGGCAGACCTATGTGTGCTGTCCCCTGCCCATCACTGCTCTGTTGTTTGTCTGTGCTCTCTGGGTCTCCTCTGCTGGCTGTGGCTGTCCCCAGTGATCCAAGCAGTGACCCAGCAAAGTCCCAGGCACTCAAGAGAATGGGCTGCACCCATCACACGCGTGAGTATCTTCTCTGCAGCTCCTGAAGGAGGGCTGCCTTTGAGGCCTTCATCACTCTAGCATGGGCAGAGAGAGCCTTTCATGTCCATGCACGTAACAGCAGGCTTATGCATTTTGGCAGCTCCTGTCAGACAAGAGATGTGGATTTCTGTGCCTCTTTTAGTAATCACCTCCAGCAGCCTACAACTCAATCCCTCATAGTGCTTCCCTGAACACTGCTGCCCTGTCAGCCGGCCAGCCTGCAAACTGCCCAGCCTCTGTCACTCCAGCCCTCACCAGGGACACATCTGTCCGCCCCGATCAGCCGTTCCTAGTCTCCCAACTCACCTGGCTGACACACTCCCTTCCCCGCCAGAGAGCCAGCACAACAATACCAGAGCTGCCCTCAGCTTCTGGGGCTACTGAGAAGGAGTATCTAATCGTGTAGAAGCACTAAGCAAGCAAGAGAGAAGCAAAATGAGTGCCTGAGTGCACTGGTGCTGATAGGAGGGCAGTCTGGCAGGACTTGTCCCAGTCTCCCTGCAACTGCCTTGGCACTGAGTTTAGCAGATGCTGAGACAACCCACAGCTCCAGTCCCACAGTCTCCTTGTGGTCCTTCGCCTATATGGGGCAAGGCAGTGGTGAATGAACAAAGAAACAAGTATGAAAAACCACAGGAGATGACTCGATGTTATGAATACTAAATGTTCTTGTCATCACAGTGCTGTGTGGTGCTCAGAGCCCTACAGCCCAGCACAGGATCTCCCCTGTGCGGGGTATCAGGAGCGCAGGCTGAGGGGAGTGTTGATGTAACCTACCTGCTAAACAGGTTTTCTTCTGCCTGTTATTGATCAGCAGTGCCCAGGGCAGTCAGCACAAAGAATAACTCCATCTACACATAAACAACTTCAGACAGACTGCCGTATTCAACTGGCAGGAAAAAAAGAGCCTGTATGATCCTCATTTGCACCAGCTGAATGCTAATGTGGCAAGCGCCTCTGCCCACCCCATGGAACAAAACACAGCCAGAGAGGCATTTCATTAATAATTCTCTCTCTGCTCTCCATTCAGAAGTGAATGTTATGTCAGGTGCGTTCACTTGCCATAGCAGCACCTTCCCTGTGCAGCTGGCTGTTAAGGAGGCCTACGAGTCCATGGCAGGAGATGAGCTGAAAAGTTCACCCGGAATTCCTTGGTTCTGGGAGGAACCCACAACACTCCTCTGGAAAAATCCACAGGGAGGGAAAGGCAATCCATGTCTGCCTCCCATTTTTGAGACATTTTCACTGTTCTCACTCACGAAACACAAAACAATACACCCAAATCCGTAACAGGAGCACAAAGAGACCCACTGGAAAGGGAATCGATGCCAGTTCAGGGTGACTGAGACTGGGGAAGGAGGAGCTGAATAGACCACCAAGACTCACAATGCCTCTTCCACTCCAAGTCTCCCAGACAATATCTGTATGCAGAATCCCTGACTCCAGTTTGCAAGAACCCTCGTGAGATCCTCAGTGATCTCTGTGTAGCACGGGTGGTACAGCATCATCTGCACGTTCACCTACCATAGCTCTGTGCAAGTTCAAAAGCATCTCAGCCCTAATTTCCCAAGACTGGGAACGTGTTTCAGGCTTGCATCTCACGGCGTGCTGTCTGGCTGCATTTGTCAACATTTACATAGGTCTGCACTAGAGAGAAGTGCTATTGTGTTTGTATTATTTTCTAACCTCTCTTGTTTGGTAGGTCAAGGAATCATTTATTGGCACTCTCATACTTAAAATAGCTTTGGTAGCCATTTCTGAATACAAAAGAATTTTATTCTTGAACAAAGATTCAGTGGCTCAGATCTTAGAGTCTTTTTCTGAGACTGAAATGAAAAAGAGCTTGAAGAGCTCTCTTTCATCTCTTCCATTATAGAGGGACATTTGCCTCACAATCAGTCCCGACACGGAGTGGAGCAGCACTGTTTGACACACAGACAGATGTCTGTCCCAGCCTCAGTGAGCACTACCCTTCAGTGTCTGGTGCTGCCCCTGGAGCTCTGAGCTCCGCACCATGCCGAGATGGGGTAAATTCTGCCTGTGGGAACACCCCACACAGAAAGGGATGATGGCAGAAGGCTGCCTGGGAACACAAGTCCAAAGCCCAGTCTCTGTGGGGAGAAAGGTTTCTATTATGGGCATTTCAGGCTGTGCTGATAAACAAAGATGCCCTTATCTGGGAAGCCATAAGCAGACTACTCTCTCCTGGTGTATAATGCAGTTGGACAACAGGGGGCTGGACACATACTTCCAAATAGGGATGAGCTCAATGACATCCAAGCACCATAAAACCGTTTTGGCTTAATTGGCTTCTTACCACACCTGAAATTAGCAGTGCTACTTTAAGAGAGCATGCTTGGAAACCGACATTCAGGGCACCTGTCCCATCCAGGACCTGCTACCTCCTCTGGCCCCACCAAGCACATGGGGAGCTCTGGCACCACCCCTGCTCACTGTGGCTACCAGCTTGGGCTCTCAGCAGGTAAGTTGCATTAAGCTCCTGCTTTTCTGTCACTTGCTGTGCTAAAGTCAGAGCTAAGATTTCACAAACAAAGGACATCTGAAGAGGAGACATTCAACATCCTGTCTGTCAGAACCCCACAGCGTAGATGAAAGACCTGAAGGCTTCCCTTGGTTCATCAGGTCTTAACTATGTTCACAGTCTATCGTTTTCACAAGACCATATTCAGACCCACTAAAGCCATCAGCATCACCAGACATTGCACACAGAGAAAGCAGGAGATGCCCCTAGAAGGCTGTTCTGATTCTAAGCTAGTGATGGAGAGCGGGTACAAAGGAGAACTGGGACCATCTGAGCACAGCCTGGCCTGCTTCCAGCATTTACTGTCCTCAAGTGGCCACCCCTACAACCATCTCTCAGTGATAACTCTTTCAGTAGCATAACTACGCTGCTCACTCATGGCAGATCCTGATCCACTGCTGCCTCTGGGGTTTGGATGGGACACAGAGCTCGGCACAGTCAAGCAGGGAACACAGAGCACAGCAAAGCATGTTGCCCCACCCCAAACAGGGCTGGTTCTCCCAGCTGCCCCCATGCAAGTAATGCAGGTGCATTCCTGCACACACCATCCAGGATGGATGCACGGGGAATGCAATGGGTGCTTTCTCCCAATTCTTCCCATCACGGTCCCCTTCACACCAGGCAGTGCTCGGGTTCAGAGCAATGCTTCTTAACTATATCCACCACAGCCTCTGCTGGGATTGCCAGAGCTCCATAGCCAGCACTCCTTCTCCCCACCCCCCCCACATTCCCACAAAGTGGTGCTGATGCACGGCTTTGAGGTACTGATTTCCCCACAAAAGCAAACAACATTTTTTGGAGAGCAAGTACGATCCTGGTTTTAATTTGAAGTTCATGGCACTTACCTGGGAGTGTTGCACATGAGAATACCATTGGGTCAAGAGAGACACCACAGCTTATTTGTGGGCTTTCCCAAATCCCACATAGACACCATTAATAGAATTTCAATTCATAGACATTAGAACAGAAAAAACAAGGCCCACTTACTTGAAAATCTGACTGCAGCCGTTTGACTGGTGACTGCCCCTAGGGAGCTGTGGGACACACAGGAGTAATTACCCTCAGCATCAGCTCTCTCAGAGTATTTACTGTCCTTTGCCACAGCCTGTGATGAGATGAAGAGCGATCCATTTGGAAGCACGTGCAGATGTTCCTGCTCCACTAGCGGAAACCCATTCTTCTTCCACGTGATATTGATCACCTGCTCAGCAGAGGCCAGGTTACAGTCCAAAACCACGACTTGGTTTGGCTCCAATATCACCTTTGCAGGACCAGCACTACAGCTCAGCTCCACAGAATCCCCTTCCAACAGCCTCCCTGCAAAGAAAAGACAGCATTTCTTCAGGAGTTGCTCTGCTTGGTTAATAAGATCCCAGTTACACACAAGTGTGGTTAGGGATAAGACATGACATTCAGCCCCATAGTACAGCCAGCACCTCCCACAACACCTGACTTCTCCATCATACATCTTTTGGACTGCAAGCACAGCCTGCACCACCTCTGCTGCTCCCCACCATGCCCAGCAGCAGCCTTTTATCCACGCTTGCTTTTTCCATCCTAGGTTAAAGCACAGAACAACTTCAAGCCAAAGACGATGCAGCACAGGCCCCAACCCCACCTTCACCTGCCACAACTGCCCGTAAGTAGCAAGTACTTCATCCCCCCTGCTCCTTGGAAGGATATTCTTACTGCAAACTGACAGCCCGAGGGGCAGCCCCACATTCTCAGCCAGCTCAAACCCTTGGGTAGCTGTGTGCTGCAGCCGTAGGCAGAGCGCTGAGCGGCCGCTGGCTGAGCTGAGCAGGGCTGGAGCTGGCCCACTTCCAAACCCACGTACTCATAGGAGAGCTCCACCTCTGAAACAAGGCTCAGCATTTCCTAAAAGAATATTGCCATTAATAAAATGCATTTGCCGTTAGAGTTCTCCAGAGACACTAAGTCAATGTTAGCTGGCAGCGCTGCTTCCACACACCAGCAATTTCAATCTCTGCTGCACTCAAACCATCACCATCCACTCTTTTTATGGCTCTGCTCCAAATTATTTTGTCACTGCTCCAATCAGAAATGTTTCCTGCCTCTATAACAAGTTTATCAACACTGGATATGAACCACATGGCTCCCTGCCCGTCTCCTATCGCAGAAGGCTACAGATTAATTTTATAGGAATTCAAACACTCTATTAAACCTGCTACTACCTACTGCTGATAAAAGGGCTGCCTTTTAAAAGCGTGCGAGTTAAGCAAGCAATTAGGGGCAATGACACGCAAAATTACACGTGCAGGGAGATGGAAACTCCGGGTGTCCCGTAAGGAAGAGCCTTGCCCTGCCCACACTTGGGGCTCATTTGGTGCCCAGCCAAGCACACAGGGACAGGTACTCATTAGGAGGCTCCAGCCTTCTCCACGCTTTGCCCTTACCTCCTCTGAACCACCGCTGCCGGCAGCATCACATCAACGCATCTTGAGCATCAGGTGGCTCATGCTTCTTGCCAGGCACTCCTGCTCATCACTCTGCAAGACAGCCTGCATCTCTGTCCTATTTTCTGCCTTCCTCAGGCTGCAATTTTAATGGTATTTTGCTGAAAATACTCCTCCTCTCAGTGAGGCGCAGCGTGCGGGGACAGCTGGCAGCTAGGAATAGAGCACAGCTCTGCGGAGCTGCTTCCTACGCCAGCACAGGTTGGCAAGAAGCAATTATCAGCCTCTCAGGCTTCTGCCTTCTGAAAACCAACCTGCTTGAAGTCCGAGCTGACAGCACCACAGCAGAAGAAATATGTGGTGTTCTTTTTTTAATATGTGATGGTGTTTCTATACCCCTGAATATTGCCCAGATCTTCTCCCCAGAGTCAAAACCCAGTAGGATCCAAGATGCCAGCTGAAAAAAGAAGCACTTACACAACTCAGTGCCAGGCTGCAGACCCAGCTCAGGTCCCTGTGCTGCATCAAGAGAGCAGAAACAGTCACTGGAGGGAAATACATCTGAAGCTGAATGCACAGTCCAGGAACGTGCTCACCAAGGCACATGCTTCACCACGAGCAAGGGAGCCTCCATGAGAAACCAGTGTTCTCTCTGCTTCTGGCACTAAGATTTGGTGCATGTGCTGAGCTGCTTGTGTGAATGCAGTCTCACTGGACAATGACAGGAGGAGGTTGCCTCAATGTTTCACCCCAGTGAGCACATACATGCATAAGATCTTTAAAGAGCAGCAGTCACTCTTTTCCTGGAAACCTGTTCCTACCACACAACCCATTCAGTAACAGCAGCAACTAGCCTCCAGGGTATCAATGTTTCTACTTGCACACATCTACAGCACTGCCAAGCAATGCAGCCTCCATGCAGTGCTGAGAGATACATGAGTGCTCAAACCTCTGCCCTTCATCCCAGGAGCACCATAAGTGCTTCCAGACAAAGAAGCCAAGTAAAAGCCCTGGGTGCTCACAACCTGTGACATCAGGCTGCTCTGACAGGTGAGCATAGACTGCCCTCAGCCACCCAGCCTCTTCAGCCCCCACTACTGCAGGTTTTTGGAGACAAGCCCTTGGCACACACAGAGGTTGGGGCAGCAAGTGCCCAGGACTCAGATGTAGCATTGAAAAAGCTCCAACTACAATTCTGATGTTCAAAGAACTGTATAAGCTCTCCTTGATTAAACAAAACATACCTTCCAGGCTCTGAAAATGTAGGAGGAGGTCTGGTTCAAAACACCGCCCTAAATTAGCAAGCCTGACAATGAGATAAAAACACTTTCAAGGAAAAGGATCAGATGAGAGTAGAAGTGAGATCAAAGACGAATGGAATCAGGAATGTTGAGTGCTTACAGAAGCTGCTGACTCTTTCCAACCTCCATTCTTCATCATTCAGTGACAGAAATAGATACAACCCTGCTCAAACACAGCCCCACGCAGCCTGCTGCTCACCTTCGCCCTCTTACCTACTGGAGGTAATGGAGGAGTGAATGCAGGGAAGCCACCCCACACAGCCACCTGCCTCGTGCAGCAAGCACAGCCACTTCAAGGGAGAGCTGCAGCAGAACAGAGGCAGGCTGCTGAGCCACGAAGACTTCTCACATCTCAGCTCAGGGCAGGTGGTTCAGCTGCAGACCTGTGCTATGGAGCTGGAGAGCTCGTTGCCTTTGGCCACTCCAGGATGCAGCTTCAAACGTTGAAGCCTGGCAGAACTGCAAGTTTTCAGCTCATGGATCTCCAAATTGAGGCCATGAAACCCTGTACAACATTCCCCTATGGAGGGCAACACAGCTTCTACATTCAAAGCAGGCTTTTACATCACAGCATGCAGAGCAACACTCAGAAATTGCCTAACACAACTGAGAACATTTCAAAATAACTCTTTGGAAGATAAAGTAGGGAAAAGGGGACCAAAAGCAGAAAGGGGATTTAGTGGGAAAGAACAGAGATGTCTGTGTCCGACCAGTCTCAGGTAACAGGCAGAGCTCACACCAAGCCTCACTAAGGCCAGCAAATCACTGAGCTGTCCCAAGGCAGTCAGTAGTGGCTCAGGACTATAAATATATATGCTAATACACACATACACATAGGTATATGCAGCATCTATATGCACACAGTTCTGCAGGAACATAAACATACTGAAATATTAACATGCCCTGAAATGGAGGGCCTTCAATACAGCAAGGTAAGTGGTTTGCTCCCATGAAAACCACATTCTCCTCTGACTCCAGGTGTTTTATTCTCTCCCATGTTGCCAACACCAAGGCTACAGTACACACAAAAACAGCCCAAAAGATAACAAGTCCTTTTCTCCCAATCTATTTCATCACTTCCTCACTCCCACTACCCATCCATCCACTTCTGCTGCCCATGCCTAGTGAAAAAAAAGGCAGTGTCTCCTGTTGAGCAGCAACGCCCCCCCCCCCCCCCCCCCAAAAAAAAAAAAAGAAAACCCACCCACAAAGCAGGGCCTTGCAGACAAACACAGGCTGTAAAATCTTTAAGGCACAGCCCCTGCCAGCAGCAGCCTTCATTCCAGACCCTGCACAGGCAGCTACAAACCACGTTAAAGCAGCCAACATCTCCTTCCCAAAGCACGCATCTCAACGCACAGCCAAAAACAACTCCTATATCTCCTTTCCTTTGCACCAAATGGAGGCAGAAATTGTCTGACTTACTATTGAGCAAAGGGGAAAGAATCAGTTCTCCTCCTTTCGTGATTACAAAACTGTAAATAACCAGGTGAAGTGTGAGCTAGCTACACAGCGAGGTTTGACAGATCCCTGACATGCAATTACTTGGTCAGAGGCAGGGCCCTCAGAGCAGTGTTTTCACATCAAGAGGTGCAGTACTCTAAGCCCATAAATCTGGTGGGAGCTTGCACTCCATGTCTGAGCCCAGCACAACACACCACTGGCTTCTATTTGCAGTTATTTCCCTGCCCAGGGGTTAACCACGCAAAGCAAGGAGGAAAGACCTACACAAGTGAGATGCTTGTTCTGGTGAAATTTTGGCTATCAGCAGTAAGCGTGTCCTTGAGCTCTGTTACATGGCACAAGCAAATAAAAGGTTACTGTTCAACAGGAGACCAGTAGCTTTGTTTGGAGATGTCCCAGCTTCAAACATGGCTCTGCCATTAAATCACCAGACAAACCCATCCCTGCTGGGCAGCACAGCTTTTCTCTAGCTGGTCACAGCACCTCCTCACCACGGCCACAACCTTATCTCCATCCAGCAGCCCCTCACCACAGCCACAGCCCTGACCCCACTCCAACAGGCTGTCCCAAAGACAGACAGAAAGGCAGTGTCTGGGGGAGATATACCATCTTGTTGGACAAACCAGCTGAGCAAGAGGAAGCCAAGAAGGTTTAAGCACCTGCAAGGTCTTCTTCAGGACTGAGCCAGGCACAGTAGACATCAAGCCAAGTTCCAGGCACTGTCAGGCTGCACCTCACCACATTCACTTATGGCTACATCCAAGCAGACACCCCAACACTTCACACACCCCCAACACTTGCCCACTGAACCTACTACGTCAGCTGACTCAGTAGAAGAACCTCTCCTACTCTTGGAGCACCAAGACCAAACACTGCTACTAGTGGCACAGCCATCTGATGTTCTGCAGCAGAACCTAGACCCTCACCTACTGCCAAAGGAGCCCCAAATCTGGGTGGGTCCCAGGGTCCCAAGGCACTACTGGCTCTGTAACCTACCCCAGACCGCTCTGACTGGCTGGCAATTGCAAGGTTTAGATCTTCACTTCAAGTGCAGGGCAGGCATCTTCAGCACAGCTAAAACTTAAGGCCAAAGCCATTTAAGCAGAGCTGCTGACAGCCTCCAGCACCTCTAAAC